CTAGACAGTACCTGGATGACCTCACTAAGGTCACCTCAGGTCTTTGCCCCCCTTCCTTCGCTCATCAGCTACTTTTCTGGCAGTGGCAGCACCTCTGTGGCTCTGGAGATGTTCAGTAACCAGACGTGGCCCCTCCTGTAGCTGAGTCCACACCCTGCACCTCCACCCTTTCCCTGCCTCTCAGGTTGTGGTCAGAGACAGGGAGCTAGGAAGCCAAGGTCTCAGACATAGAGTCATCCCAGGGGACAGCCCATCTGGGGAGTGTCCTGGGTGGGGTAGTGGGTAACCCAGAAGGCAGGTGGTCATCATGAAGCAGGGGTGGGATAGAGCAAGTCCTCCTCTGAGCTCATCCACCCCTCCAACCCTGCTTCCTGATAATGGGACTCTAAGCCATCTCGGTTTACAATTAGGGCAATGGAAGTTTGTCCAGGGACACCTAGTAAGTTGTCATTATTAGTCATTGTCACCTTTGAACCCCCAAGGTTGAATGGGGCCTCATGACACCATTTAGGTCAGAGTCTGGGGACCCTGCCCTGAGAATCACCCTAGGTTCTACCAGAAGACTGACAGTATGGGGGTAGGAGGACCAGCCTCCCCAGGTTACAGGTTCCAGCCTGGGACCCCTGGGCTTTGTCAGAGGCCATTCCTGGGCCTGAGGAGAGGCACCAGCTCCAGGGGCATCTGGAACCAGCAGCAGCTCAGCATGGTGGTCTCTGGATGGGGAGGAGGGGGAAAGAGCAGAGAAAAATTCAGATGGGGCGCTGAGCAACCTGAAGAGGTCAGTGGGAGAAACTGAAGTGACATGTGCCAGAGAGGTACAGATGAGAGTGAGTGTGCAGGGGCAGACCCATGTTAGAGAACAGAGGAGGATATTCCTGGCCATGGGGATGCTGGGAGGATGCAGAGAGGACTCCCCAGAGGCCTGTCCAACAAGAGGACTCATATGATATTGACAATGTTCTGGGAGGAAAATGGGGCCAGTGAGAGCTGGATATGAACGGAGAGCTAAGAAAGTAACACAGCAGGATAGGCAGGGAGGGTAGAGTCAGCACTGGGTGGTAGGAAGACCCCTCAGGATCGGCGACTCCATGGATCAGGTGTGGGATAAGGGAGGAGGCCAGGGAGATTGCCAAAGCAGGGAGGCAGGAGGCTGGGACACTTGGATATAAAGACTTGGATGACAGGCACTTGTGCCTGGGGTGGGGGGAGTAATATTGGGATCCAGGAGTCCTGGGTGGTGAGTGCTGGATTGGTGGTGGGACATGGGAACCCCTCAGCTTATTCCTACCTTCTTGTCTTAAGACTGCTCTTCCTTGGGCTGGCAGAGTGACTCAAGTGGTAGAGTGCCTGCCTAGCAAGAGTGAGACCCTGAGTTCAAACACCAGTACTGCCAAAAAAAGATTGCCCTTCCTCATGAAGCAGTAATCCTCCCCCCGAATTGCCCCTCATTAGCAGAAGAAACAGTGTTAGGACACAGGAACAGGGAGGACCCCACTCACCCCCATGGACAACTGACCAAGCATTAAGAAACATTAGTAGCGAGCAGGATATGTATGGTGGTCACATCTGTAATCCCAGCTACTCCAGAGGCAGGAGGGCAGAAGTCAGCCAGGGCAAAAGGTATCCAGATATCCAGACCCTTCTCAAAAACTAAAATAAAAACAAAACGGCGGTTGAGGGCCATAGCTCAAGTGGTGGACAGCTTGCCTAGCAAGTGCAAGGCCCTCCGTTCGATACCCCATACCGCGGGGGTGGGGGGGGGGGAGCGAGGAGGGGAACGGATAAAAGACAAAACGAGGAAACATTAGCAGTGACATAACTTTATTTGTGGCTTAGAGACTTGGGAGGGGAGCAACCAAAGCCGGGACTCCGCGAGACAAGAAGATGGAGGATTACTGGGGCTGATGCCTCCAAAGAAGCCTCTCTCGCGCCATCATATCTTGCCCGCGAAAGTCCCATTCCTGATCTGCTCGTTCCAATGCTGCACCTGGAGAGGGAGGAAAGCCGGGCGACGGCTCAGCCTCGGCCAGAGCCCCCGCCCCCTGCTGTTCTCTGTCCCGCGCCCCTCTGCCAGCTCACCCAGCTGATGGGGCACAGCGAGTGGAACACGCGGAAATAATACTCGCAGGGTTGCGTGCTCTTCCCGCGGCGGTTCATGCTCTTCAAGCAGCGGTGATAGTCTGCAGAGAACCGCAGAGTGGGAAGGCGGGGTCACGGTAATAACCACGCCCACTCCGGACAGGTCACGCTCCTCCCTCCAGGATTCTGTCCCATCCCTTCCAACCATGCTCTCCCATTCCACCACCCTAGGCAGGTCCGGCTTCTGCCCCAAAGTCTCCAAACAAAGCCCGCCCCCAGGTCAGGGCCCGCCCCTTCATTTAATTAACGAGGCCCCGCCCTCCGGGTTTAGTCTACTTCGCCCCGCCCTCCCTGAGTCTGTCCCACCCTTTCCAGACCAGGCCCCGCCAACATTCTAGGCCTGCCTCCGCACCTTGCCCCTCCTAGGTTGGCCCCACCCATTCAGATAAGGCCCGCCCCTCCTAACCAGGCCCCGCCCCCAGACCACAGACGGGTCAGCCTCCCCAACTCCAACGGTTTCCGGGAGCCTTCAGGTGGACTCCCTTTTCTGCCTCCTCTCCCCGCTCCCTCTGGCCCCCTCTAACCTGGCCTACTGGGTCTCACCCAGAAAGTTCTGGTAGCAGTTACGGGTCTGGTTCTGGTTGGGGAAGCGTGGGTCAAATGGTGGCGTTGCCCATTTCTCCCTGGGGGGTTTCTGGGCTTCGATGTCCAACATCCAGGAAGGAGGTAAATCCTGCGGGGCGGTAGGGGGGCTCTGTGGGACCTAAGGGCGCCCCTCGCTCCGATGGCTCCTAAGCCCACTCTAAACCCCACCCGCCTTCCCCTTACCAGACTGCTGTCAACCCGTCGCGGGATCAGCTGCGTTAGTGGTTCCTGCCAGGTGTGCACCTTGCTTCTGAGTCTTGGTGGGAGGGGGGTCCCACCCAGCTCAGAAAAAACACGACCCTCAGACCGGATTGGCTGGGAACTCGGGAGCCCCAGCCAATGGGAACTGCTGGGTGAACCAGTCTGGGCCTCGGAGCTGCATCAAAGGAGGCTTCCCTCCCAGCTCCCTTAGGATATCCTCTATGGGACCCGCGCGCCACACGCGCACACACCCACAGACACGGAGGCACGACTTTGACTGAGTCTCAGACTCAGACTTTTAATCTCTGCGAAACTGGGCTTCTCCCCGGGCTCTCCCTGACCCGCCCCAATATATAAACGTATAGATAGCTCTGGTTTCTACCCGAGAGGAAAAATTCCCTGCCCAGTCTTTTCAGCAACTCTGCTTTTTACGGTAGGGGTGCACAGCACCCTGGGGTTCTGTAGAGGAAGCGGGGTGGGGGGTGGCGAGGAAGGATGATATCTTGGCTCCTGAGATCCCTGGCAGGGCCAGGACCAAGTCTAAGATAGGTCTGTAGGGTTCGGAGGGTACCTGGCCCCGCTGGGCTCCTCTGGACAGTTTGCTGACTGAAGTCTACTGCAATCTGCTATTTAAAGTTCTGGGGAGGCTGCATGCTGCAGGGAGAGAAACCAAGAAGTCTTGGAACTCCAAGTAGACAGCAGTAAAATACACATCACCAAAATTTACCACTGCCTTTTAACATGTACCCCTTAAAAGTGGTATGACCACCTCTATCTAGTTCCAGAATGTTCTCATCACCCCAGGGGAAACTCCTAACCCATTATCTGTCTTTCCCTATCCTTCCATCCACTTCCAGCCCTGAAAACCACCAATCCACTTTCTGTCTCGATGGATTTGCCTGTTCCTGACGTTTCATGGAAGTGGAGTCCTATGCAATGTAGCTATTGTGCCTGGCTGCTTTCACTTGACATGTTTAAAGGGTCACCTGCACTCCAGCCCATCAGTTCTCCTGTCTCTAAACACTTTGAAGTTGCTTCAGTCAGACTTTCATACCCAACATGTCCCCTCTCCACTGATAAACCCACAGGCCCTCTCCCAGTCCCGGCTTTCCTTCATGTAGCTGCGCCAGTGTTCCCTTTCCCTCTCACCACCATCATGTAGAGATTGTGATGTCCCCACCTCTTGCCATTCTGCTCTGTTTCCTTTTTTATCCCCCTAAACTTCTTGGGCTTTGTCTCTTCTTCATCTTCACTTACTGGTGACATCATTTAATCATATCTTGACCTAACCCTTCCACAGGTCAATGACTACCAAAATCAATTTCCCTGAACTCCAGACACACACCTAACTGCCTTCCCTAGCCATCTCTCGAACTGAGAATTCCCAGTCTTCTCCCTGAAACTGTCTTCACTTGCCACCTTCCCCCACTGCTGATGTGACCACTGCACCCTCCAAGTCTCTTGGACCCCAAACCTCCCAGCTATCCTCAACATTGTTCTCAAACACCATGTGCCCAATCCACAGGCAATATTAGCTTGTCCTTCAAAGTGTCTGCAGAATTCAGGGCTTATCAATACCTCATTATCTCCCCTCTTGTTCAATCCACCCATCCTCTCCTACCTGGGTTATTGCAACAGCTTCCTCCCTATTCTTCTGGCTTCCACCCTTGCCCCCTCTACATTTTCTACCCCAAGCTGGAGAAAACCCTTTCAACTTAAATCCATTCCTGTTACAGTGCCGCCCCAAACTCTCCAGCTTGCTCAGAGTCAAAGTCACAGTTCTTAAACTTGTCTACTTGTGATAGGTACCCCTGCTGCTCTTCTGACTTCATTCCCTGAACCAGGATCTCTTGTGGCTCACTCAACATCCAGCTATTCCTTCTATAGGATTCTTTCCCTGCAGCTAGATGTCCTGGTGGCTTCCTCCCTCCTCTCCTTTCACACAATCAACACTCAATGTGTTAGCCAGGTTACCTCAGTGTTAGAATGCGTGCTTGCCATGTGTGAGACACTGGGTTTAATTCCCAGCAAATCCCAAAAGGGAGAGAAAAAGAATATGAATAATGGAACTGACGTTAAATGTTATCTGCTAACCCTGTATACCTGGCTGAAGGAGGAAAGTTGCCCAATTCCTTGTTTTCCATCTCCGCCTTGGAGGCCATGTCCCTTATACTCTTAATTTCTAAGAGCATGGGTAGGAGAATGTTTGAGGATGACCCCGTTGTGGCCACAGGATGCTGCTTCAGGATCCTCATGGGTCCTTGAGGCTTCCTCAAAGGCTGCGGTGGCACTCTGGCTGTGGCCTCCCTTCTGGAGATGGGGGATGCTGGGAGAGGAGGTTGTGACAGGTTCTCCCATCCAGAGGCAGGCAGGGGGATGGGAACATGGGGTTTATTGGCATTTTCCCTGCTGCCAGAGGTAGGCACAGAGTAGAGAGGAACCTTAGAAGGCCCCTCTGGGTCCCAGGGTAGTTCCCTGTCTGTCCATTGCTGTGTGTTCTCCTTCACCGAGATCTGAGACTCTGGCTGCTCTCTTACTACCACTGGTGGCCTCTCCAGCAAGGACAGCTGGCTGGGGGTGAAGGCCATCATAGGAGACATAGCGGATTCATGAGAAGTCATTGAGAGCCAGGAGGGTAGTGAGACGTCAGCTGGCTCTTTCGAATTGGCCATGATCATCAACTTGGCCAGGGTGAGCCCTTCCACAGAAAAGGGTCTGCTGTACTCCTTGGAAGGGACCTCGATGGCCAGTTCCTGGGTCTTGACCCACCTTTTCTGCTGTTCCACCTTCTTGGATCTCATGTTGGGCGTGTCCAAGGATGTCTTCTCCTTCATCCTGTGGGTCCTGCCCTCTGACTTCCTCTTGCCCTTGAGGCCCTCCAGGTTCACCACCTGGGTTTTGCGAATCACAAACTCCTTAGACTCCTTCTTGGTTGTAGTGAAGGGTTGCTCCAGAGATTTCGTCTGGGTCCTTGTCTCTACTACTTTTGTCTCCTGGGTGCCCACAAACACCACAGGCTCGGGTTTCCGGTCAGGCTTGCTTTGCTCCAGAACCTCCCCTCCAGGAATTGTTGCTGCCAACACATGAAGACCGCTAGGGCCCTTCTGCTGTGAGGTGGGTGAGCCTAACACCTTCTTGTGTTGGGAAGGTGAGGATGGAGTCTTCCAGGATGGGGTGGGAAGGACCAGAGGTAGCTTCTTTAGGACAGGGCGGGACGTGGCTTTCTGGGGAATAGCAGGTGCACGTGTGACCTTCTGTGTTAAGGACAGAGTCTTCTGCAGTGGGGCAGGTATAGCTGTAGCTTTCCAGGAGGAGTTAGGTACAGCTGGGGTCTTCTGAGGAACAACCAATCCAGGTGGGGCCTTCCGGGAAAGGCCAGGTATGGCTGAAGCCCTCTGGGAAATAGCGAGTATGGCAGAGGCCTTTGGGGATGACCGAGGTACAACTGTGATCTTCCGGGATGGAGAGCAAAGAGGTGGGGCCTTCCGTGATAGAGCAGGTACAGCCAACACCTTATGGGACTGGTCCATGATGACTGGTGCTTTCCATGAGGCCACTGGGGCAGTTGGGGCCTTCCAGGAGGGTGGTGGTCTCTGGCAGTGCCGAAAGCTCATAGACCTGGCCTTGTGACCAGACCTTAGGTGGGAGATGGGTGAAGAGAGGTAGAAGGCAGGAGGATAGGGAGTTAGGCTCAAGGAGGATGAGGACAAAGTGCTGGATTCAGGGTCCATGAGGTCTTGAAGATCTTGTTGCCAGAGGACCATGTCTAGCTGACCACAGGGGCCCAGAAAGGTGAGATCAGGTCTGCAGGCCGAGATACAGCGTAAAGGGGTCTCGATCAAACCTCCCCGGCCGGTGTCTTCCTCAGAATCTGCTGAGTAGACCTGTATGACAAAGGAAAGGTACATTTAGGGCCTGGGAGCTCCCAGGTTCCAGTGTCTAGTCCCCAGCCCTTCTCCCTCAAATCCAGGAGTCCAGACCCCAGCCCTCTTCCCTCAGACCCAAGAGTCCAGACCCCAGGCCTCCTCCCTCAGATCCAGGAACCCAGGCCCCAACCCTCCTCCCTCAGACCCAGGGGTCCAAGCCCTGGTCCCTGACACATGGCTGGCCTTTGAAGAGGACTGTCCCTGGTTGATAGTTCTGGAAATTATGCTGAAGATGGTGCGGATAGTGATGCTGGCTTTGTCTGTGTGAGGAGAAGACAGTTTGAGCCCTTTGGGGAGGGATCAGAACCACGGGCAGGTCCATACGTAGTGGGGGTAGGGAGGGGGTTGCTCCTACCAGAAACGTGTATCTCAGCGTTAGACCTATCATACCCGGCATCTGGGTGAGACCTGTGTGAGTGATACCATGGGACTTTGATGGCATCAGGCAGGGTGCCCATCCATCCTCCAGCTCCTATGGCAGTGAACCCCCTTGCTCACTTTTTTCCTGTGCCTCTTTTCCTAACGTCAGATTGTTCCATCTGGGACCAAACAAGAGGCATGGAGTCACCCACAGCCTGAGACTTGAAATTGCAGTTGGGGACCTGGTAGTGGATGGGGAGGGAACAGTGAGAGGAGGGACAGTCCTGGACCCTTTGCCCCTCAGGCTGGAGCAGGCTGGCTTACCTTGGCCTTCCTTTGCATCAGTATTTTATAAGAAAAGGTGGATTCAGAAACCTCGGCTAAGAAAAGAGGTGGAGAGAGGAGGGTCAGGGGCCCCGAGGGGTGAACATGGAGCAGGCACTAAGGAGGACATGGAATGCTCAGGAGGGGGTTGGAGCTCTGTCCACGCCCTGGGGGAGTAAAGGAAGGACAGCCTGGCAGGAGGCAGAGCCTGCTCACCTGTAAGTCCTCTGTGGCTCTGGTCCTGCGGACAGGGAGGGGGCAGTCAGGAGGGGCTGCCCTTGCTGGTTTCTATGTTTCCATTACCTACCCAGCCTCCCCTCACACCCATGAGGTCAAAACTCCCTGGTGGTCCAGGACCCCAGCTCCTTTTCTGGGGCCCCTGGACTTTTGGCTGTGGGTCCCAGTTCCCTGTGGAATCTGGAAAGTGGCTTGCTAGACCCAGTTGTCCCTGAGGTCTGTGGGGTTAGGGCCCTACCTGGAGGTGCCAGGTGGAGGCAGGTGCTGTGGCCAGGGACACATCCAGGGGGGGTGTGTGCAGGGTCCTGGGGGCCCAGTTGCTGGTAGGCTCCCGAAGCAGGTTGATAAGACAGATCCAGCGGTCAAACAGGAAGCCCACCTCATTGTCAGGGGCGTCTAGCTCCAGGTAGTAATAGCGGCCAGTGACCAGGCACAGCTTCAGGCGCCAGGCATATAGGTCGTGGACGTAGAGGTGGACAAGGTCTAGTGGGATCATCCTGGGGGAGGTGGGAGATGGGCTGGCTAGAGCTGGAAGTGGAGTGGAGGAGAGGTGGCCTGGTATGGGAGGGGGATGGGGAGGCACCTGGTCAGCATGAGGCCGGAGCAGTCCCTGTCCTCAGGGGGCTGAGCAATCAGCAAGATGTCTGGCAGCACCAGGCCAGGCAGAGAGGCTGCCACGCCCATGGTCAGCCTGTTGGTTCTATGATGCACAAACACAGGGCTCCCACAATTTGTCACCTGGTGTGGTCAGGGAGCAGGGCTGGGACCAATCCTTTCTCCAACATGCCTCCAGCACCCCCAGACTAAGCCCCCCTTCCAAGCCCACCTCCCAGCTGCAGAGGCCCACCTCAGTCCCTCCTACCCCCACAGGTAGACCCTCTCCCTTCCTGTCCCTCAGCCCCCGGGGTACAAGGAGCCGGGAACCTGAACAAAGTTACTCTCGAACATGGGCAGCGGGCGGAGGGGCAGGTACTCGCCCGTCTGGAGGGTCTTCTGCAGCTCCCCCAGAATGGGGACCCACTTCCGGGGGGCCCGGGCAGGCTGAGTACGCCGGATATTCCAAAGGCGGTACATGATGGCTGCAGGAGCAGTTGGTGGGGTATGGATTCAGGGACCCAGGACCCAGGTGTGCCCCCGTCCCCTTCCCCCAGCCCACCTGCCTTGGCCCTTTGGGCTTCACAGGTGCTGGGAGCTCAGAGATCATAGAGTGGAGCTCCCCTGGGGCTGGGAGACTGGGCCGGCCATTGCCGTGGCCCTACAGGGGTAGGCAGCACTGGGCTGTGGGAGGAGCCTTTGGTGGGGGCTTTGTGACCTCACCGGACACACAGGGGACTCTTCCTGGGAACTCTCCAGGGGCCCCATCATCTGGGGATATAGCATGGAGTCTTGAGGACTGGGATGGATGAATTAGAACTTCATACCCTGGGGCGGCATCCTGCTCCCCCAACAACACGGGCAGGGAGTTTGTGTGGGTTACTGTAAATGGACCATTAGCCAAAGGGTTTGAATCACAGTCCCAGCTCTGTTGCTGATTTTTTTTTTCTATTTTTTAGTTTTGCAGTAGTGGGGCTTGAACTCAGGGCCTCACGCTTGCTAGGCAGGCACTCTACCACTTGAGCCACTCCACCAGCTCTGTTGCTGATTCTTTTTTTTTTTTTTTTTTTTTGATGGTTGTTGTCTTTCCAGGCAAAGAAAACTTGTGCACAACAGCTCTCTGGGTACCCGGAACCTCATCTGATTCTGTTGCTGATTCTTAAGACTGAAACCCATGCCCAGCCTCAGTTTCCCCATGGCTAACGTGTGGGTCCAGGAATGGTCTCTGAACACTGAGCTGTAAATAAAGGGATGCTTCCCATACTTGAGCATGGTGACACACACCTGTATTCCCAGCACTTGGGAGGCAGAGGTAGAAGGATTGTGAGTTCAAGGCCAGTCTGGGTATGTAGGGCGATTTTGTCTCAAAAAGCCAGTGTCTAGGGATGTAGCTCAGTGGTAGAGCACTTGCTTAGCATGTGTAAGGCCCTGGGTTCCATCCCCAGCACCACAAAAAAAAAAAAAAAAAAAAAAAAGACAGGGACATCATCTTCTGAATGAATCTGACTCAGAACAGAATCACAATTCCATCTCTCCCTGTGTGACCACGAGCAACAGAAATGCCCCTCCTGTCTGAGCCTCAGTTTCCCCTACCTATAAATCAAAATACAGGGGAACCACATCAGTAAAAAGTCCACACTTAGCAGGGTCCAGAGCAGGGGCTCAAATAATGGTCTTTCTGTTCCATTCTAAGGGTTTGTTTTTTTTTTCCCTTGGTGGTGGTGGGGAGACTGGTGTCATTCTAAAAATAGAGTTTATTATTATTTTTAAATGTGTCATGTAAAATACAGTCATGGTAGAAATTCTGAAAAATACAGACAAGCACAAACAATAAAGGTCTACCATAATCCCACCTCTTTTCCTTTCAACCCTGAGACAGTCATTGTCAACATTTTGGTATATGTCCCTCTAGGATTTAAAAACAAAATTCCACATACATAGAAACACAAAATTGGGATCACACAGTGGCTCTGTTGTCTGCTGTTCTGTGCCACAAGACATCTTTCCATGTCAAAAGCAGTCTCTTTCCTGGAGCTTCCCTTTTCATGAATGGCTGGTATTCTGATGTTTTGTTTATCGATCCCCCACGGTTGGACATCCAGGTTGTTTCCAATTTGCCACTGTGAACACTGTCAAAATGAATAACCTTGAGCTTTTATCCTGTGTAAGTGCTGTCAGTCACAAGGTGACCTTCCATTAAATATGAAGTGCTGGGCACTGGGTGAGGCTCAGATCTTGCTTCCACGAAGTTGTTGGAGCCACCAACCATGCTCCCTTGCTCTGCTCTGCCCACTCAGGACTTTCTGCCTCCTCCCCTACACCAGGGACCCCTGGCATCCAGGCACCAGCTCTCAGAGAAATCACCCTTAAGTGGGCATGTATGACAAATTGAATCCCCCTTTCTCTCTGTCTCATAAAGGTTTCTCACATTTTTTGTACAAAATCCCAGGCTTTCTTTTCCCCTCCCTCCCCATCTTAAAATAAAAAGTAATTGTTTAATAAATAATAAATGCTCCCGCCCAGGCCCAGAGAAGAAGGAGCCAAGATGATGGAAAGAAAGTCTTCTCAAAGATCCAACAACCCAGGATCCCAGTTCTCTCCTCCTCGGGGACCCAGGAGTCCACCTGCCTCCCACCTCCCTTAAATAAATAAGTATAAATAAGGCACAGGTGCCTCCCCCACTGCACCCCGGTCTCCTGAAGGGAATGTAACTAGTGGGGGGGTGGAGATGAGGGGTGATATCCCCTGACCACCATGCCCCAGTACTGAAATAAATAAATAAATAAGATCTGGCTTTGAAGGACAACGGTGGCTTTGGGTCCAAGATCACAGCCGAGTCTTCAGCAGCAGCAAGCCTCGCACGGCCCAGTCCAGGGTTAGGTGCAGCCCTCCTAGGATGGCATGAGCTGCCCTGATGCTTCCCCAGGCTGAGGCAGGGGGCACCAGGGGGGCAGATGGCTGGTCTAGGGGTGCCTGGGGCAGGGATAGGCGAGACATCTGTCAGGAGAGAGCAGAGGTTAGCAAAAGCCAGGGGTAGGGTGGAGGTCAGGGGAAGGGGGTATTGGGAACAGTTCAGCCTGCATATCTACAGTCTCTGGTGTGGGGAATGAGGTGTTCAGGAAGGGAGCTCTTCAGGGTGCTGAGTTCAAAAAGTTGAGGCTGGGGTCAGAAAGTTGCTGGTTTTTTTTTTTGTTGTTGTTGTTAGTACTGGATTTGAACTCAAGTCTTCCTGCTTGCGAGGCAGGCTTTCTACCACTTGAGCTACACCACCAACCCTCTATTTTTGTGTTGGGTATTTTCAAGACAGAGTCTCTCGAACTGTTTGCCCAGGCTGGCTTCAAACCTTGATCCTCCTGATCTTTACCTCTTAAAGTAGCTAAGATCATAGGTGTGAGCCACCAGCGCTGGACTAGAAGGTTGCTGTCTTATGGCTGGGCCTTCAGGCAAAGTTTGGGAGCTTGGGTGAGCTCTATAGAGTTGGAGCACCCTTGGTGAGGCTGAGGCCTCTGAGAGCAGTCAGTGCTGGAATCTTGGAGCTTGGATGTCTAGGAACAGTGTGTAAAAGCTGTGGTCTCAAGTCTGGGGATGAGGCCCAGGATTTTGGGGCTGGAATCTTAGATATGGCTGACATCTCTAGGAGTAAACTAGGAGCTGGAATTTGAGGTCTGGAGTTTTTGGAGTCAGGTCCAGAAACCAAAGTCTAAATTTGCATCTTCGGGTCTTAGGTCTGGGGTTTTAGAGTCTGCTGGGCTCACAATCAAAACTTCACGTTTGTCAGGCGCTGGTGGCTCACACATGTAATCCTAGACTCAGGAAGCAGAGATCAGGAGGATCACAGTTTGAAGCCAGCCCAGACAAATAGTTCACCAGACCCTATCTCGAAAAATCCTTCACAAAAATAGGGCTGGTGAAGTGGCTCAAGGTGTAGGCCCTGAGTTCAAACCCCCATACCACAAAAAAACAAAAACAAAAACAAAAAACACATTTCGGGGTTTCCATGTTGGAAGTGAGACTTGGGGACTAAGGGCTGTGGATCTGAGACTTTAGCATCTAGATTCTTGACATGTGGCCAGGCCAGAGTTTTGAATCTTAAGGGCTGGGTCCTTGAAGTGTCAGGATCTTGGGGCTGGGATCCAGGGCTCTGGTTCTGGAGGTTGTTGGGTTTTGCTGTTTGGGCCTGGGTCTCCAAGTCTCAGGGTGAGGATTTGGATTCCTGAGTCTCAGGGCCTAAGAATGGACTCTCAGGAATCAAGGTTTGTAGTTTCAGGGCAGGGACTCAGGGCCTGAGGTCCTGGAGACAAGACCACCAATAACTGATAAGGGGTCTCAGGGTCTTGGGGTAAGAGTTTGGATTTTCTGGGCAGGATTCTGGGGTCTTGGGGCCTTGGTGTCTTGGGGGTGTCAGGGTCAGGCTCAGATCTGGGATCAAATTTGGGGTCTGGTTTCCAGAGTCAGTCAGGGACCCTCAGGTGTCAAGATTCAAGGTCTCAGGCCATGGGTTCTTGGGTCTCAGGGTTGGAGCCCAAGCATACCAGGAGCTGCAGCCGACGCAGTAGCCGGTCTAGCCGGGCCTGGAGAGCACCCAGCTCGGGCTCCAGGGTCTTCAGGGAAGGGCCACCAGCCCGGCGCAACCACTGTACATGTCGAAGGTAAGAGAGCAGGTCCACTCGAAGCCTCATCAGCACACCTGGCAACTGGGGACCGGAAGAGGGTGTCATGCCCCAACCCATGGACCCCTTCACTGCCCACCTTCCACCTGGGCCCAACCCATTCCACAGCCCCTACCTGCAAAGATCCCAGTGCCCCTGCACTCATGGCCAAGGTGGGTAGGGAATCCAGGTTGTGGTCCCCGTCAGCTGGGAATTTCTCTCTCTGGTGGGAAAGAAGCTGTGAGTGGGGGAAGTAGGGGTGGGGGTGAGGGGCATCAACTCCCACATCCCCTGGTTCTGCCACCCTGGGTGCCCCAAGACCCCTGAGAGACTCTGTCATTCTTTCTGACCCCATCCCCTCCAGTCTCCTACCAGCTGTGCAGCCAGCTGCCGAGTGTCTGCCAGTAGGGAGCGGGTCAGGAGGACTGCACTGTCCAGCTCTGCCCGAGGGTCTGAGGGAACTCGAGGGGAGCCCGAAGGTGGTCCAGGGGCAACGGCTCTATCTGGCCAAAGGCTCAGCACCACCAGGACCAGGCGGCAAACACCTGGGGGCAGGAGGACAGAGAGCTCATGATGGACCCTGGGTCTGAGGGAGGAGAATCAGAGCCTGGACCCCTGGATTTGAGGGAGGAGAGCTGGGGCCTGGTCTCCTGGGTCTGAGGGAGGAGAGCTGGCAACCTGAACTCCTGGGTCTGAGGGAGGAGGGCTGGGGTCTGGACCCCTGAGTTTGAGGGAGTGGGGTTTGGGTCTGGACTCCTGGGTCTGAGGGAGGAGGCTTGGGCCTGGACTCCTGGGTCTGAGGGAGGAGAGCTTGGGTCTGGGCTCCTGGGTGTGAGGGAGGAAGGCTGGGGTCTGGATTCCTGCGTCTGAGGGAGGAGGGCTGGGAGCCTGAACTACTGGGTTTGAGGGAGGAGGGCCAGTAGGTCTTGAGTTTAGGGTGGGGCGCCCTGGGGCAGGTCGCAAAGCCCGGGCGGGCTTCAGTCTCCCTCCCTGCCTCTGGCTGCCCCGCCCGTCGGAGCAGACGCGGCCCGGGGCGGGTAGACGGGCCGGGCGTCTCCCGTCCGCCCCCGGACGCCGGAATCTGGGCCCCGGGGCGGGGCATGAGGGGGGAGGCACAGGCCAGAACCTGCCCCCTCCCCGGCCCCGGGAGCCCAAGCCGGCCTGGGAGCAAGGGAAGGAGCCACAGGCCGGGACTGAGACCCGGACACACCGACTCCTCCCCAGGGAGGCCCCCTCGGCCCCCTCGGCCCCCTCCCATAGCTCGCCAAGGTGGAAGCGGAAGGCCAGGCCGCTGGGCCGGAGATAACCCCGCACACCTGGGCGGAGAGCCGCCGCGGGACGCGCTCAACAGGAGACCTGGCGGGGCCGCGCTCCGGACGCGGGGGCTCCGGACTCTGCCCATCCCCCAGGTGCCCCGCCCACCCCGAGACAGCCAGCCAATCAGCGCCCCCGGGCGGCCCAGCTCCCGTATCACACCCCCAGCCCGCCCCCTAGTCCCCTCTGGCCGAGGCCAGTCCTCCTGCCCCTCCCCGGTCAGCCGTCTGTCCGTGCGTCTGTCCTACTGCCCGCGCTCATCTGTCTGGCTCTCCGAGCTCTCTGTGCGCACCCCTGTCCCTCTCTGCTACTCCTGACTAAGATCGGTGCTCCGGGGCTTGCTCTCATCTCGGACTCTGCCTCAGTTTCCCTCCCTGAGCCTCTGTGTCAGGGTCGTTGGGAAATTGTGTCTCTTGGTTCCCGCTGACTCCCGAGGGGTCCTGGGCTCTTTAGGATCATCTGTCTCTCTGCCCCCACCTGGCCTGTCCCTCTCTGCATCTCTGATTTGCCTTTCCACATGTTTCTCCCTGTGTCTCTCTGCCTTCTCTCCTCTCCACTCTCCTACTTTCTCTGAATATCCTTCTTCTCTCCGTTTGACTCCCTGTGTCTCCTCTCTCCTCTATCCCTTTCTGTTCCCACTCAGTGTCGGCTCCACACCCTCCCCCTTCTTCAGTCCTTCCCTCCCTCCCTGTCCCCCAACCCCATGAACTGGAACCAACTTACAGTTCATGTCCCCACAGGCCAGGGGATCCCCAGGGCAAGGGGCAGGGAGCCCGGGGGGCCTTTAACCCTTCCCTGTCCGCTGCCGGGGGAGCCCCCGGGGGTCAGCTGGGCCTCGGCCTGGGGAGGGTAGGCATGTGCTTGTGAGCAGCAAGGGCCCAGCAGTGAGGGAGTGTGGACGCCTGGGGGGTTATATAGGGGGCCGGGGCGGGCGGGCGGGGGGCAGGCGGCAGGGGAGGGCGGCCTGACACATCCTGACTCACCCTCCCTCCTGCCTTTTCCATTCAGACAAGCCGACTGCCTAGCAGGGCTCACGCCGCCTTGCTCGGAGGAGGGCACGGAAGGAAAAGTTGGAAAAGTTGAAAAATGAAGGGGGGGGTGGTCGGAGAGGGGCTGGTGAGGTCATTGGCGTCCCCTCCCTCCACCTCCTCGGGCTGGGGCAGACACACGAGGCTGTAGAGCTGGGGCCCAGCTGTGGGTGGGGGTCTGGCTGGACCAGGACAGGCAGAGAGAGATGAGGAGGCAGGAGAGAGAGGCAAACCTTGAGCTTGGAGAGATGGAAACAAGAGGAAAAGTTCAAGGGACAGAGCTTGCAAGAGAGGTGTGGGTACTGGGACAGAGATGGAGACTCTGAGGCAGAGGCAGGGAGACAGAGACAGATGGAGTCTCTGTGATCTACAGACATGGAGAGTCTGAGCTGCAGAGATAGAGAAACTGAGGCAAAGACAGGGACACAGAGATGGGGACAGCCAGGGAGATGCATTGGACAGATAGATGACCCCAGTCAGCCCAAGAGACAGAGGGGAGTGGATCTGGGAACAAGTGAGCAACATGGACAAGTTGGGGAGGATCAGAGACCTCAAGGAGAAAAGGGACAGAGACATGGAGGCAGTCAGAGAAGACAGGCTGCAGGAAGTAAAAGGAGCAAAATGGAGAGGGGTGACAGTGAGGACTCGGCAATGGGGACAGATGCAGGTGGAGACAAAAGGCAGAAGAGAGTCAGGTGTAGTGACTCACACCTGTAATCAATCCCAGCACTTCGGAGGCTGGGGCAGGAGAATCATGAGTTCAAGGATAGCCCTAGGCTACTACATACAAAGATCCTATCTCAAAACACAAAACAAACAAAAAAACCACCCAAACCCCAACCAACAAAAGTAAAGGTGAGACAGGACCTGAGACTTCGGACTAAGAAAAAGAAACATTAAGATGCTCCACAAAGGTGGGACTCAGGCCCCATGATGCTGCCCTTCTGTGCCTCAGTTTCCTCATCTGTGAAATGGGGTAACAAGGGTACCCAACTGTCCCTAAATGATGCTGTGAGGATAATGTGTGTGCTCACCTATGTAAAGCAAAGAGGACTACTGGGTAAATAAATATTTGTTAATCACTTTTATTCTCATGGTTACATTTTATTAACAATCCAAGGAGACTGATGTAGCCACTGAAACAGAGTGGGAGAGAGGGTGGGACAGAGCCAGTGCTAGGGCCATAGACACCTGGACAAGGCAACACAGAGAGACAGGGACACAGGAAGGATCTAGGTAGGAGAGGGGGGACCCAGCAATGCCCATGCAAGCATATAGTGGTCCAGGATTGACAACCACCTCAAGGAACAGGGACATTCCAGGAACCTCCTCTCCATGATGGAGATGGCAGAGAAAGATTGGATGGGAATGAGCACAGGGAGGTGACAAGGACTCTCAGGGTCTCTCTGCTGGACCCCATGCAGACTGCTGTGCTGGCGGTGGTGGTGGTGGTGGTGGTGGTGCGGTTTCTGGGATTGAAGGCAGCTGGAGCAGTCTCCCCCTCCCTAATCACCACCATGGGGGGCTACTGCTCAGGTCCCAAAGGAGATGAGGTCACAGCCCCCCCACGGTGGGACATGACCTCATCACTTCAGGTAAGAGTTCTTTCTTTCCCTTTCTTGGTTTGTCACATCCACCCCTTCAAGGGCCCCCTAGGGGCCCTCCCCAACCCTGGCTCCCGCTGGGACCCAGGCCTCTGACCACTGGGTCAGAGGGGCCTGTTTCCGGCTGAGTCAGCGTGGGGGGTCTAAGGCTGCGTCAGTGAGGGGAGAGCTGACGTAGCCCCCCCCAGACTGGCGGGGCCAGCCAAGGTGACTCAGGCCACCAGCCTGGGGGATGGACTGGCCTGAGGGGATGGGGAATGGGCCTGCTGCCAAACTAGGAGCAGTACCAGGAATCTGGAATGCCAGCCCCTTCCAACAAAGGGGTCTAGGAAATACCCCACTCTCAGCTTCTCTTCCCTCAGACCCAAGGGCCCAGGTCCCAGCCCTCCTCCCTTAGACCCATAGGTCCAGACCCTAGTCCTACTCCCTCAGACATAGGGGTCCAGGCTCTAAGTCCTCATTTGCAGGTAGATAAAGGATAACTTGGGTCTCCTGTACCCTCTGGGGAACTCTCTAGGGAAGTTCATGAGTCTGGGTCAAATTAGAGCTCTAAGTTTCTGGTCCTGCCTGGGTTCTTCATTCCTTGGGGTTGTGGATAAGACTTCATCACTCCTGCCCCAGGTGACTGTGACTGTGGAGGGACTGCAGACTGCTCAAGATTCTTGGGTCTTCTCTGGGAGAGTATGTGGGCACCACTTCTATAGAAATGATGAGAGAAAAGAGAGAAACAGAGAGAGAGAGAGAGAGGAGAGAGAGAAGCAACGTGGGGGAATCCCACAGAATGACAGAAGAAGCCAGAGATAAACAAAAACAGAATAGACAGGAGCATAAAGACCCAGAATGAGAAGATAGATTCAAGAAAAGAGGTGCTAGGGAGACCAACTGGAGGGCTCTGAAACAGACTGGGCAGAGAACCTGGGATTTGGGGGTTTCCCCATGAGGGCCTTCCTGATGTGTTGGCCCCTGGGCAAGATGGGTCTGGCTGGGTGTGATGTCAGCAAGACCTAGGCTGTGTGTGTCCGTCTGTCTGTCCCTGGGGGGTCCTGTCTGGGCTCTTGGGGGTGACGGGGCAGATTGGCCACAGAGGCAGCCCAAACCTGTCATTAGCGGTGAGGGCCTTGACAGTGCCCCCCCACCCTAGTCCCAATCCGCGGTCCTGGGCCAGGCAGCCCCGCCCCCCCACCCCCTCCTTGATCCCTGAGGAATCCAGGGAATTGGGAAGTGGGTCCAGATGGTGTTGACACAGGAAACGGTCAGCAGCTGCCTGGCCTCAGCCTCCCAAGCCCTCTGACCCCCACCCCCGGCCCCCTGCCAAGCCCCTCAGACCTGTGTCATCTGTGACGGAGTCAGCCCAAGGCCCACTCAGCACCCTTTTGGATGTTTACAGGAGACATGAGTGTGAGATGGAGTCAGAATCTCAGGTCTCTTGAGAAATGGGGTCTGGCTTTGGACCCCTCCTCCCTCAGACCTTTTAGTTCAGGCCCAAAACCTGATGGCCCTTGGGAATCAAGGCCCCCTCCTCATGGTGTGAGCAGACATGAGGTGGCGGACTAGGGATTTTGGTCCCACCCAGCCTCAGATCTGGCATCCTCTCTCTCTGGAACCCTGGCCCCTCAATAATCATTGGGGACACCAAACCCAAAACCAAACAAAATGAGGACCTCCACTTTGATACCCCTTCACAAGTAGGGAAAATAAATGTTAGTTGGGATCTGGAAGCTCTTCACAGATGCTAAACACCTCCTGACCTCACACCCTCAATCTCAGCTGGGCAGGTCCCAACCCCCGGTTAAGTGTTCTCTACAGAGGAGGCCTGGTAGGCCCAAGCTCTTGGGGGTAGGTGAGACCAGGGGACTCCCCACCAGTCTCTAGCCCCATTGTCCCATCCTCCTCTTCTTGACCCCTTGGTTGCTAGGGGAAACTACCCTAACAATGGGGCTCAGAATATGACCCTAAGGGACCTGGGGCCCTTCCCTTTGGTTGCTAAGGGGAAAGACTCCTTAGCAACGAGGTTTCCTGAGACTTCATGGCTGCCTCAGGAAGAGAAGGGAGGCTTCAACAAGAAGGTCTCTTCTCTTCCCACCCCCTCAGCTCCTGGGTTGATAGGGGTGATAGCGGGGAGAAGTTCCTGCTCTGGGCTCTTTACTGGCCTCTCTCTCCTTCCTTTTTCACTTACTCTAACCATGAGGCCGCCATATCTACTGACCTCTTCCACCTGGGTGCTAAGGGAGCCACTGCCTAGACCAGATATGACCAGATCTGTGGGACCCTCCTTGTGACCCCCCCTAGCTGAGGGGACTCCCTAGCAACAGAACTCAGAATCCTGGCACTGGGGCTTTGGGGCGGGGCCCAGCTGTTGCTGGGGTGATGTCCTTCAAGGCCTCTCTCCACAGAGGCCCCAGGGGTCTGGGGAGGCAAGATGGTGGGCTCAGGGATTCCTGTGTTGGGCCTTCTCCTGCTGATGCAGGGCTCAGTAGGTAAGGGGGCTACTGTGGATGTCGGGGGTCACCTTGGCTTCCAAACAGTCCCCAACACCACCTCTTTTCTTCCACAGATGGGAATGGAATCCAGGGATTCTTCTACCCATGGAGTGAGTGGAAGTTGAAACCCTGGGGGCCCCAGGGAGAGGGAGCCCAGATACACTTCTGGGTCTAGACCCCTGGGTCTGAGCGGGCAGGGCTGGGGCCTGGACCTCTGGGTTTGAAGGAGGGCTGGGGCCTAGACTCAGTGTGTGGGAGGAGGGACAGAGGTTTCAACCTTTGGATCTGAGGGAGGAGGGCTGGGGTCTAGACCCCTGGGTCTTAGGGAGGAGGGCTGGGGCCTGGACCCCCACGTCTGAGGAAGGAGGGCTGGGGCCTGGAACCTTCGATCTGAGGGAGGAGGGCCGGGGTCTGGACCCCTAGGTCTGAGGAGGAGGGCGAGGGCCTGTACCCCTGAGTATGAGTGAGGAGGGCTGGGGCCTGGACCCCTGGGTCCAGAGTACACTGGGCAGACAACCCTGTAGCCTTGCCCTGGGATCTTGGTGTCCACAGCCTGTAGGGCTAGCTCTGTAATGGAGTGCCCACTGTGGTGGCCCCCAGGCTGTGAAGGAGATGTGTGGGACCGGGAGAGTTGTGGGGGTCAGGCAGCCATCGAGAACCCCAACCTCTGTCTGCGCCTACGATGCTGCTACCGAGATGGGGTCTGCTACCACCAGCGGCCAGACGGTGAGTGGACAAATGCTGGGTGTCCTGGTGCACACGGGGCTGGCGGGTGCCCTCTGGGTCTTTAACATCCTTCCTCTGGCAGAGAACATGCGCAGAAAACACCTGTGGGCCCTGGCCTGCACCTGTGGCGGCTTGCTCTTGCTCATCTTCAGCATCTGCCTGTTCTGGTGAGCAGGGTGGGGCTCGGGTGGGTGCCTGTGCCCACAAGGCACTGGTGAGTATGGCAGGCTAAGCATGTCCCTCCCTCACCAGGTGGGCCAAGCGCCGAGATATGCTGCACATGCCAGGGTTTTTGAAGGGTAGATGTGATTTGTCGAGGACAGTCTCCCTGCTGTCCAAGGACCGAGCGTCAAGCAAGAAGACCTTATCGGAAGGAGAGGGGACAGAAGCGGGCGAGGACACAGAGGAAGAATAATAGGGGCCTCCCTGGGGGACCCTTAAATACAGATATGACATATAGATGTGTCTCTTTTTTTTCTTTTTGGCGGTGCTGGGGTTTGAACTCAGGGCCTCACACTTGCTAGGCAGGCACTCTATCACTTGAGCCATGCTCCCACCCCATTTTGCTTTCGTTATTTTTCAGGTAGGATCTCACATTTTCTTGCCCAGGCTGGCCTGGATTGAGATCAGTCCTCCTACTTAAGCCTCCCTTGTAGCTGGAATGATAGGCATGTGCCATCATAGCAGGCTTTTTTATTGAGATGGGGGGGTCTCACTAAGTTTTTTGCCCCAGCTAGCCTTGGATGGCATTCCTCCTTATCTACACCTCCCAAGCAGCTGGGAATACAATAGTATGCCACCATGCCCAGCTTAGACGTGCTTCTTTTTTCTATGGAGCCACAGGGAACAGGTAGCTCAGGGTGCTTGATGGAGCCTGGGGCTCAAAATTCAGGGGGAGCCAGGCAGAGTGGAGACTTGGCTGTGAGCTGAAGGAGTCTGGAATGAGAGGCTCTGGGGGAAGGGGAAGGTCTGGACTGAGTGGGGGGCTCCTGGGTTGATGGAGTCATAGGCTAGGGAGTGCTGGGTGAGGTGAGCCTGAAACGAGGGAGTTGGGAGTTGATTGTTGACAGGGGCCAGAGCTGGGCAAGGGTATAGCATGTACAGCCACAGAAATGTGCTCCTCAGCTCTCCTATAGCAGGGAGCCCAGCTGATTGACTCCCACCCCTACCCCACTTGTGTGCCACACCCCACCCATGCCTGCAAGAGGCTGGGGTGGGCCTCCTCCAGACTCCCTACCAGCTGACTGGTATTTCTTGGAAGTGTGCTGCAGTTGGAGGCTCTTCCTACCCAGGCAGCCATCCTTCTTCTGAGGTGTAGGACTTGTACCCATGGCCTCTACAAGTACTTCCCCAGTGAACACCTTGCAAGTTCAGTTTGTCCCTGTGTCTGCTTCTGATTGGGCTGAGTGGGTGGGTCTGGTTCAAGATCCTTGCCCCACTCCCTGTTCCCTGTGGAAGTGGGGCTTCTAGATCCACAATGGCTGCAGGGCCCCCAAAGCCAAGGGCAGCCTCTCTGTGGCCAGGCTCCAGCTCTGGCAGGAAGCATGCTCCTTCCACCTCACGGCAGTGAGGTCCCTCTCCCAGACAGGCAAGCAGTGCTGCAAGGTAGAGCCATTTATCCAAGTGAGGACAGAAGGGGACACACAGTCATCCTGGTGGCCGGCTGACATAGGGGACAGGGGCTCCTCTCAGTTGGGTCCTGACCGATGGGGTTACCTGAAAGAGGGATGGTGGGGTTAGTGCTGCTCAGGACCCACCCCCTCCACCCCCTCCATGCATTCCCCAGCCCCTCTACTCAATGGCGGAGGGATGGGGCAGGGAGTACCTCACTCATTGATGTATAGCTCGTTCATTTGCACCTTCATTCCAGGACCTCCCCACTCACTACAGAGCCTTGTGTGTGCACATGTGCACGAATATGTGTGACCTTAATGCATGAGCATCCACTGGTCCCAGAAAGGCAGAGAGATGGAGAGACAGAGGCACAGAGAATAGTCAGATAGGCAAAGGTGGGGGGCGAAATTACAAAGGGTGGTGAGGTTACACCCATCTGTGAATTTTGATCTCAGAGGCAGAGGGGCGCTAACAAGGCTAGAATATGCTCCTGCACCAAAAATCAAGTTCTCTGTCCTTTTATGTAACCTCGAACTCTCCAGCCTCCCTGCCAACCAAGTTCTGGGATTACGGGTGAGATCTCCTTCTGTGAGGGCTCCTCAAGTCAGCTGGTCTGACGCTCTGATGGGAGGTTCCAGCAGTGGAGGGTCACCCACTTATGGTAGACTTTTGGGCAATGTCAAAGATTTTCAAGGGTAATTCAATTGCAGATGTTATTTTTGCAATGATGAGCCAAATGCTGCATGCTTCACCTGAACAGAGAGTTGTTCATCTTTTTTTTTTTGTGGGACTGGGGTTTGAACTCAGGGCTTTGTGCTTGCAAAGTAGATACTAAACTATTTGAGCCACACCTCCATTTTGCTCTGGTTAATTTGGAGATGGAGGTCTCTTGAACTGAGATCTTCCTGATCTCAGCCTCCCACATGGGTAGGATTAGAGGTGTGAGCCACCAATGCCCAGCTGTTCATCTTTTTTTTTATTTTTATTTTTTGTGGTGCTGGAGTTTGAACTTGGGGCTTACATGTTGAGCCACTCCACCAGCTCTTTTTTTGTGATGGATTTTTTCAAGATAGGGTCTTGCAAACTATTTGCTCAGGCTGACTGAACCTGGAACCTCCTGATTTCTGCCTTCTGAGTAGCTAGGATTACAGACATGAGGCAGCAGCTCCCAGTTTGTTCATCCTTTTTTAAACTAGTCTCTTCATTTGAACCACAGAGCACTGGATATCATGGGAGTGACTATTTTCTTAATTCTCACAAGGAACAGAGTATGACTAGTGCACCCACATCTGTAATCCCAGCACTAAGGAGGCCAAGGCAGGAGGATTGAGAGTTTGAGGCCAGCCTGGACTATAAAATTAAACCTTGTCTCAAAAAAATCAACCAAACAAACACCTAGTGCCATTCTGGATGCATAGGAGAAAAGTTAATTTGCTATATACATTGAGAATGTCTTAAGGTTTAATAGTTTCACAGAACCCCCAGTGGAAAATGGATTCAGTTACCCATCCATCCACCTACCCACCCACAAACCCACCCATTGTTTATCTCTATTTATCCATCAACCCAAACCATCCATCCAACCATATCCACTCATCTACCCACATCTACCCACCAGTCTCTTTGTACCACCCATCCTTCCATCCAATCACATATACTCATCAACCAACTTATCCATTTACCATTACATCCAATCCATCAAACGATCCCTCTATCCAACTCATCCATCAACCAACTCATCCATCCATCCTTTTAGCAATCCATTCGCCAACTCATCTACCCATCCTCCATTTACCTATCTACTTTCTGATTCCTACTTTCACCTATGTACTCATTCATCAACCTTTCTTGAGTTCACACTTTTTTGTTGGGCACTGTTAGAAAACAGAACACCAGAGAACCAGGTCTTACCCTCAAGGGAGTCCCTGCCCAGTGGAGACAGCCCCACACAGACAGACACAACACATGGTCATCCAAGTGGCAACAGAGGTACCTCAGACAATATGGAGATCCAGAGAAGAGTTAAGAAGTTGAGTTGGCTCAACTTACTGGACATGCGGTAAGTTTTCTGGGTGGAGTGCAGCCAGCAGGGGCACTCCTAGTATAGGAGCACCAGCAGACGCCAGCTGGTGGGAAAGAGACTGGGCTGTCTGTGGACTAAGGAATGTCATAACTTCGGAGAGGCCTGAGTTTAACCAGAGGGCAAGAGGGAGCCACAGATGATCTTTGAGCAGAGGCAGGTAAGCTTGAGAGGTGTGCTTACAAAAGAGGATACAGTAGCTCCCCTTTATCCGAGTGTAGTATGTTGCCATACCACAATGCTTGTTGGACCTGTCCCTATATACAGTGGAAGGTGAGGAGAGAGAAAGGGGATGGGATGAGGACGGCTTCATTCCTGTCCCCGTTGCCCCTCTCACTCTACTTCTTTCACAGGACTACTTATCAGGAGAACTGAGGCTCCTCCACCCATGCGTTCCTGAGCCTGGGTACAGGTGGCACCTTTCTGGGTCTCAGTTTACCCCACTGTGTAAAGGGGATGGAACAGTGGTGATAGCAGAGACCCAGGCACACGGACAGGCTAAACGGGGCCTGGTGCTCCTGGAGGCTAGGGCGAGGGTGGTCTCACTCTAGTGCTGTGGATGCCTAGCCCTGCCTTCCCTCCCCGAGCGTTGTCACCTCCAGAGGCGGGGTCTCATTCGTCCCACTCCAGTCTACACCTATGCCCGCAGTATCTGAATCTTCCTGCTACCCTGCATCTCTCCCCCTTCCATCTCCACCTCCTGGGGGTCTCTATCTCCCCATCACCAGTCTCTCCACGTCCCTCCCAGCTCCCCTTACCTGGGGCTCACTCGCTGCCAGTGCCCACCGTCCCGGGCCCGGCCTCGAGCGTGGCCAGTTGCAGGCGCACGCGGCGGGAGCCGGCGGCGGGCGGCGGGGACGCGCGGACGGCTCGGCGCGCTCCGCGGGGCCCGCGTGCGGTGCGGGAGCCGGTGGCGGCGGGCGCCGACCAGCGGCGGGACAGCTTGCGCGCCAGGCGGGCGAGCGCCGAGGGCCGCAGGCCGTAGTCGCGCTCGAGCTCCTGGCGCGAGATCTCGATGTTGCCGGTGTACCACAGGATCCAGCCAAGCAGGCTCAGGAAGACGAGCAGCGCGCCTGAGTAGATGAGCAGGTCACCGAAGTCGCGGCCGCGCACCTGCAGCTGCGCGAACACGCCGGTCAGCAGAGCCGCCATGCCCGCCACGTCCAGCGCCACGGCCAGCAGCAGCGCCATGCGGCAGCGACCCAGGCCGGCCGCTGGAGCGGGCGCGGGTGCCGGCGGGGACGCAGCTCCTGCCGGGGACGCCTGCGAGGCGCACACCGCCGGCGCTGCCGCCATGGCCCTGCCCAGCCGCCGCCGCCGGCCGCTCCCTGAGAGCGTTCCGGGGTGCGGTCGCCTGGGGCGGGGTCAGGGGACCGAGCCAGGTGTGCCCAGCGCCTGCCTGGTCACCTGAGCTGGGCTGGCGTGCACGAACCAGCCAGGCCCCGGGTGTCCTGGCCGAAGTTCTGTGCTGCGGTCTTGTGGCTCTGAGGCCTGTGCCGGGACAGCCGGCGCACAGATATGGCTGCCTAGGGCCCCTGTCTATCAAGGATTGACACGGTCCAACTTCAAGGTGCCATAATGGAGGCAGTCGGCCGTTGCTTCTATTCAGTGTCCGCCTCCCGGGGCCTCCTGCGCACCAGCTGGGCACAGGTGGGATCAGAAACAACGATCAGACAAAAACCCCAGGATCAGACAAAACACCAAGGAGCTCTGGGGCGCAGAGAATCAGCAGCCAGAGTGCTGCAAGGAAGGAAATTACAGCTGCGCGGATGCTAAGAGTTCCTTTCTCTGGACGCGCGATTTCTGGGGCCTCCCGTGTGCGTAGTCTACTGGCGAGTGGACCTAAGGCGCGGAGATACATGTTTCACAGTAGCTCCCTTACATCGGCGTCAGACCCAATGCGCTAATTAATGTATGTAGCAGGCAAATCCGAAGGTCAAGTATTTATTTAGAACAAGGCCCTTGCTCTCAGGCATAATGCCCACACAAGGTGAGCCAGTGGAGGTCCATAAGCACTGTCTCCCTGGGGAGGCTGAGGACACAAATATCTGGAAAGGTTCCTCCCCCTTCGAGATAGCCCTGACGACAGAAAAAAAAAGCTTCCAGGGATCTTAGTGAGGGTTTTCCAGGGCACGCTAGAGGCCGGAGGCAGCTAGGTACTGGGAAGAGGCTGGGCCAGACTGCGCGGAACTCTAAAGGGAAACAAGAGTGGTCCCATGCAGTGCTCTCAACGACAGGTCCTTAGAGGAAATCCATGCTCCCCTGGGGTAGCAGACTGCGAGACAGTTCTGTTTAGTTTCTTCCGAGAGTCAAAACAGTTTCGGAGCTCATTCCCCCGAAACTGGAGAACGCGAACTGCTAGGGAGTTGCCGAGATTACCGGAAAGAGGCCGAGTGTTTCCGAACAGAGACGAAACAGGCATGGGCGAATAGGGTAAGACGGAGGCTCTTCCGGAGAATTTCCGGAGAGTTACGAAAATGCCCGAGCGGGCACCGGTTCTTGTCCGAGGGAGGGAGGGCGGGCGACTTCAGAAGCACCCAGAGAGGAAGCGGAAATGCGTTGAGGTATTAAAGGCATCGCCCCGGCTCTGGGTTCCTCTTTCCGTCTCCGGCCGCCACAGTGAGAGGAGGTGAGCGTTCGCCCTCCGTCAGCCCGATGTGGCAGCCATTTCGCGCCCTCCGTCCGGTGTCTCAGCCCCTTATCTAGCTTCTCTCTACGCCCAAGCGTCCTTGGCGCCCCCCAACTCCGCCCCCTGGAGTAATGGTTTCACGTTGTCCCTTGCCCTCCATTCCCTACAGTCGCGGCCGCCGCCGCCTTAGGTCACTCAGCCTCGCCAGACAAAGCCCTAGGTCGCTGTCTGCTGACGGGTGTCCCCATTCACCCCTGTGTCCCGCAGTCACCGTCTTTCTCTGCTGTCCGAGCGCGTCCTAGCGCCGGTCCGCTTCTCCGGGTGACACCTTTCACGTGCCCGTGTCTCCGCAGCCGCCGCCATGTCCGCGCATCTGCAATGGATGGTCGTGCGGAACTGCTCTAGTTTCCTCATCAAGAGGAATAAGCAGACGTACAGCACCGTAAGTAGGGCCCGACCGCCAGGCCCCTGCTGGGGAGGAGCGTCCTCGAGTCGGGGTCGGGAAGGGGCCTCTGCGTGTCTCCCGGGCTCAGTTCACCACCCTGCCCCTCCTTCCCAGGAGCCCAATAACCTGAAGGCCCGCAATTCCTTCCGCTACAATGGGCTGATTCACCGCAAGACCGTGGGCGTGGAGCCCGCCGCCGACGGCAAAGGTGTCGTGGTGGTTATGAAGCGGAGATCCGGTGAGCCTTCTCCAGACAGGAGCCCCCTTTGGAGCGGGAAGCAGAGGAGGGAGTTCTGTTATTGAATGGCGCTTTTTGGGGGTTGGGATGTTGGCCTGGGAAGCCCCTCTTTCCATCCCTAGCCAGCTGTGTGATTTGGGCACTTGTCAGGTAGAGAAATTAATAGAATATACGCTTCCCCAGGTGGCCGGGAAGTTGGGCAATTGTGCGACGTTTTCAGATTGGGGGGGTGGGTGCCTTCTATCTCAAAGATGAGAATATTTAGGCAAACAGACCAACTGTCTTTTGATCCTATGTGGAGATGACAGGCTGAGTTCCCTGCACAGTTCTGCCACCTCCCCCATTTCTGCTTGTTTGGACTCAGGAGGGGCCTTGAAGACTTCACCCTCTTAAACTGCTCCTCTGGCACAGACAGGCCTTTTTTTGGGATACTATAGGGTACCCTATCTCCAGCCTGTGGCTGGTGACTCCTACTATTCCTATCTTTGAGGGAGATCCCTCTCTTTTTGGGAACACAGCCCTGGAAGGTCCTCAGGTTCTGGAGTACTGGGTTCTGACAATCTGGTTGAGGGTGCTTAGGTTCTTGGGGTTGAGATCGTGTCTTGGAGGTGCACTAAAGGCCTGGCATGTGGACTGACTTCTGGGCTCCTCTCACTAGGCCAGCGAAAGCCAGCCACCTCCTATGTGAGGACCACCATCAACAAGAATGCTCGGGCCACGCTCAGCAGTATCAGGCACATGATCCGCAAGAACAAGTATCGTCCAGACCTGCGAATGGTGAGTGACACATGTGGGCCTCCTGAGAGGATAGTGGGGAGGGGATTTGGCCAGTACTGTTGGGGGGTTCAGCTTAGTGGGTGGTCCTGGGCTGGGGAAGGACAGGAACCCTTCCTCTGAGCCCTGCCCCAGGAACATGGCCCGAGGTGGGTGTTGGTGGTGGGCTATTTTGCAACTGAGCCCAGTATCTTGTCCACCCACACAGGCTGCCATCCGCAGAGCCAGCGCCATCCTTCGCAGCCAAAAGCCTGTGGTGGTGAAGAGGAAGCGGACCCGCCCCACTAAGAGCTCCTGAGCCTCATGCCTCTAAAGCAATAAAGAGTAGCTTTCTCACCTGCCTTCACTGGGCCTCCCTTTTGTGTGGCTCCTGGAGCTCTGTTACTCAGACTCTTAATGATCAGCTTGTTCACTGAAGGGGACTTAAGGACTGAATCTGCAGAGGGGTGGGGCAGGCACCATTTTTCCAGAAAAGAGTTGCTGATCTCTGACCTTCCCTTGTTCCCATTGTAAGTGCCTAAACAATCCCAAATGAACCTTTTTGGGTTGAGGTAAGCCCTCCCCAGAAAAGACCTCTTCCAGCCTATAAGGCTGAGGAACTGCTTACAACCTCACTCTAGGCCTCTGGTGTCACAGCAGCCCTGGAGACCCACATGAGTGAAGCAAGGGGAGGCTGCTTATCTTGGGACTAGGCAAAGGATTGTGGGGGTTTTGTCTGATACAATCCTGCCTTAGAGATAGGCAGCTGAGGAGAAATGGCCTCAGTCCACTGGTCACCCAGAAGAAAGGTGACAGCATCCAGACTTTTCAGCCAGCAGTGTTCTTACATAGCTGGGGCCCCCACCCCATCTCCTTGAGGCTGGTTCTTACAGGGTCTCAGCTTCAGTGTTTTTTCAGATGTCTTCCTGATCACCCTGGCTAAGTAGGTTCTTGGTTCCTCATGTTCTGATGTTGACCCAGTGGCTTGAGTCCTAGCCTTAGCTGTGTAGCCTTGGGCAAGTTAGCTCTCTTACCTCCTTGTCTGAATGAAGTGGGTAAGCAAATGGAAAGGGCTGCACACAGTAAGTGCTCAGTAGCTACTAGTGTTATTTGCTAGAATATGCACAGTGAGAACAGGACCTTGTCTTCCCTTACACATACTTTTACTGGGGTTACAACCACATAAGCCTGCAGTAAGTTGAAAACATCCTAAGTGAAATGTGCTTAATGCACTCAACCTGTGAGACTTAGGAGCCTGGTGCACCCTTGTGTTAACCCTTGTGACAGTATCTGTGGCAGCTCAGTACTGCCACCTAATATCACAAGTGTACTATGGATTGCTGGTCTGGAGAAAGATGGACATTCAAAGCACAGGTCAGGAGGATTGAGGTTCAAAGCCAGTCCCTGGCAAATAGTTCAAGAGAGCCTATCTCGAGAAAAACCCTTCACAAAAGGCTGGTGGAGTAGCTCAGGGTGTAGGCCCTGAGTTCAAGCTCTTGTACTGCAAAAAAGAAGCCAGTTCTGAATGTTTTTCACCTGCACCATCATAGTCAAAGCAAAAATTGGTTGACTGTAAGTCAGTGACTATCTGTATTCAAATGAGTGGTATACAAAGCCATGTATGTGTGCACATACATGCTGTGGGGTGCCCATTTCTTCCCCTTGAGCCTTTGCAGCTACCTTGTGAAGCAAATAATCAGCCCCACTTTACAGGTGACCCTGAAGCCACATGGGAGAAGCCATTGCTTCTGGTGAATCTGCTCTCTCGTGTGTGTGTGTGTGTGTGTGTGTGTGTGTGTGTGTGTGTGTGTGTGTGTGTCATGCCAGGGATAGAGTGCACTCCTGGTTCCTGCTTGCACTCTATAACACTAACCAAAGAAAGGGACTCCCTGGGCTTGGACTTCTAAGGTTAAGGTCAGGAGAGCAGCAGTCTTGCCTTTTGGCAATGACTGAGATGCCCAGACCCCTACATCAACCTGCCCTCTGCTCCCACTTTGTCCAGCTCAAGGATAGTAGAACTGACTAATGTTTTTTTTTAAGCAGTTTGTGGGGATTTGCCTGAGGTAGGGTCTTGATACACATCCTGGGCTACCTCCTCCTGAGGGCTGGGAATACAGATGTGCACCACCATACCCAGCCAGAAACTTCTTTTGCCTACTTGGGTCTGTCTTCAGGTTGAGAAGGATGCTATTGAACTTCATGGGGCTTAACATCTGCTCAGAACTCCCAAGGTTCCCATCCCACCTCCAAGGAGGCCTCATACCCTGTCCATGTCAGTTTTGCTGCCGCATTGTCAAATAAGCTGAAGTGTGTGCCTGTGCAGGTGAGCAGGGACATAGCTTAGAGTGCCCTAGCCCAGTTGCCCCAGCCTGCTGCGTACTCACACCTGAGCCCAGGAGCATGCCCAGGTGACTTTTTTTTTTTTTTTTTTTGGTGGTACTGAGGCTTGAACTCGGCCTATATCTTGAGCCACTTCACCAGCCCTTTTTTTTATTCCAAACCTTTATCCTCCTGATCTCTGCCTCCTAAGTAGCTAGGATTGCAGGCAATGAGCCACTGGTGCCTGGCCCCACGTGATATTGCTATGAGAAATAACAGGTGCTTTAAGCCAAGGTTTTTGGTTGTTTTCACCAGTGGCTCATGCCATTATTTTAGCTACTAAGGAGGCAGAGATTAGGATTGCAGTTCTAAGCCAGCCCCGGGCAAATAGTTCATGAGACCCTATCTTGAAAACACCCAACGGGCTGGTGGAGTGGCTCAAGTGGCAGAGTGCCTACCTAGTGAATATGAAGCCCTGAGTTCAAACTCCAGCACCGCCAAAAAGAAAAACCCAAGGCTTTTTTTCCCTCACAATGTATGTGTGTGTTCAGCTCAGTCGCGAGGTTGGCACAACAGGACCACTACCTGATCCCAGAACATTGTCATCATCCCAAACAGATGCCAATCCAGCTGATGCCAACTACCAATCTACTTTCTGTCTGTGCCTATTCTGGACATTTCATATAGACACACATGCTGTGTGGCCTTTTGTGTCTGGCTTCTGTCATGGCACAATGTCCTCCCAGTCTTCCACATTCATGTCTCAGTGTGGCATTCTGAGGTCACTGGGCAGGTCACTTAAAGATCACCTAGCTTGTTTTCTCCCCAGCACCCCCCAGCATCTAGTATGGCTCCTGGCGTATGATAGGTACATTGTTTCACCAGCAGTCCCACTGCTGGACAATTCCAGTTGGGCAGTAACTCCCAGTGGAATCACACAGGACACTCCATCCTCCCACCACATAGAACACATCAATACAGGAAGTAACCACCATCAGGCATGCTCACCAGACCCTTGGGAGGCAGCCATATGCAGAAGTCCAACTCCCCAGAGGTCACACTGATGGTATGGACCAGGGCTCAGGCAGACAGCTGCTCACCAGCACTGGTCTCAGCACCAGGGCCAGAAATAGACAGGTTCTCTCTTGTCTCTCTGGCACTTGCAGGGTTTGAGCAATCCAGGTCTGCTGATTTCACCTTTACTGTACACCACCCCCTACTGCCTTTGACCTAGAGTTCTCTTACAGTTGAATGAGGCATTTGTTTAGCAACTACAGTCAGTACAGTGTTTATTTAATAGAGATTCCCCTAGAAGGACACTACCATCTTCACAAATTTTCTGTAATTCCAAACTTCTTAAAATTACTAAAGCCAGGTCTGGTGGTACACACCTGCAATCCCAGCACTCAGAAGGGTGAGTCAGGAGGATCTTTAGTTCAAAGCCAGCTTGGACTTTAGGAAAAAAAATAAAACTAATATACACTTAAGATATTTTTCACATCTCAGCTCGAGAAGAATCCAAATGTTTGATGAAAACCAATGTGCAGGTGGGAGTATGGGAGAACGGACACTCCTTGTTGCCACAGCATAAGTTGGTTCGAGTCCTATGAGGGCAGTTTGACAACGCCTGTACAAGTTTGCAAAGGAATATGCCCTTTGGCGCAGTAATTGATCACGTAAGATCTATTCTATGGATAGAATATCGTTCATGTGCAAATGACACATGTATGATGGTAATTTATCTCAGCATTTTAATCAAGTAGCCACCAAATACAGGATTTGTGATACAAACTTTAGTCAATGGGATATTATGCAGCTATAAAATAAGACTAGGAAGGTGTTAAGTACTGATATGGAGAAGCTTCCAGAACTCAGTGGCAGAGCTCTTGCTTAGTGTGCTTGACACCCTTAGTTCAATCCACACTATTGTAAAACAAAACATTATTAGGTTAACAAAGTCAGGTGTTGCATGAAGTGTGTGGATATTATCAGCTAGGTAAAAAATAAAAAATAAAGGACAGCCCAAAGAGTATACTTAAATGTCTTACATTCACGGAAACATACACAAGAACCTGGTACTGTTGGTTGTCCCTGATTAAGGAAACTGGGTGTCAGAGAGATGGGGATGACAAGAACCATTTCAATATAGAAACTTTCACCTTTGAAATTTAAAAAGAAAGGGTTTTGCGTTTTGAATAAGTACCATTTACATGGCTTCAGGCTCTGCTTGAGACAACTGAAGGCCCCAGTTTCTGTGACTGTCCGGGTGCTTCAGAAGCATGTGCAAGCAAATTCATGAGTATTGTAAACATACTGAAACAACATGTGAGCAGGTCACACATGTTGTTTGCATGTTGCTTTGTGTAATAATATATTTTGGAGATTGGTCCATATCCACACTTCATGTTTTTAAAAATTTTTGAAATATACACATACAGAAAAATGAATGAGCTGGGTGCCAGTGGCTCACATCTATAATCCTAGCTACTCAGGAGGCAGAGAGATCAGGAGGATTGCAGTTCAAAGCCAGCCTGTACAAATAGTTCTCTAGATCCTATCTTGAAAAACCCATCAAAATAAAGGGCTGATGGAGTGTCTCAAGATGTAGGCCCTGAGCTCAAATTCCAGTAAAAATTAATGCTACAAACTTTTTTTTTTGTACTGGGGTTTGAACTCAGGGCCTTTCAACTTGCTAGGCAGGTGCTCTACTATTTGAGGTAAACTACCAACCTTTTTTGCTTTAGTTAGTTACTTTTGTAATAGGGTATAACTTTTATGTCCGGTCCGGCCTGGTCCAAGATTCTCCTAATTTAGCTTCCCACGTAGCTGGGATGACAGGCACACACCGTCACACCCAGCTTTTTATTTGTGGAGATGGGTATGACTAACTGCCCCGGCTGGCCATCCTCCCAATCTCTACCTCCTGACTAGTTAGGAATTCAGGTGTGAGCCACCACACCTGGCCCATTGTTTTTGGCTTTTTGAGATAAGGTCTCATTTTTTAGCTCAGGCTGTCCTTGAACTCAATCAAGATCCTCCTGCCACAGCCTACAGGGTGCTAAAATTGCAGGTGTACATGACTGGTGATATTTATATACTTTAGAAGAGTAATCAAGCAATGAACACCCAAGTAACTGGCACTCGGGTAGGGAAGAGTACTCAATGGGCCACAGGGGCTGCATCTTTGCTAGAAGATACAGGGAGACAATTTTCTTGTATGACTGTACCACCCAGATACATATGTTTTTATTTATTTATTGATGGTATTGGGGATTAAACTCAAGGCCTCATGCTTGCTGGGCAAGTGCTCTACCACTTGAGTTACATTCTTTTTTTTTTTTTTTTTAAATTTTATTTTTGTCCACGTTTGAACTGTGTATGAAGACATTCAAGTTACAGGTATTTTTTTTTTTTTTTGTGGTACTGGGGTTTGAACTCAGGGCCTACACCTTGAGCCACTCCACCAGCCCTATGTTCCCTCATGTCCCTATACATTGATGCACCAGGATCCTAGAAAACCAGTGACCTGCTTTCAGCTGTTATTGGGGTGGAGGAAGGTTTGAACTGAGGGCTTTGCTTGCCAGGCAGTCACTCAACTGCTTGAGCCATGATCCAGCCCTTTTTGTTTTCATTATTTTTTGAATAAGGTCTTGCATTTATGCCTAGACCAGCCTTAACCAGTCCTCTTATTTATGCTTCCTGCCTAGTTGGGATGACAGGTGTGCACAACCGCACCCAGCTTTTTACTGGTTGATTGCTGACTTTTTGCCCAGACTGGCCTTGAACTGCAATCCTCCTGATCTCCGTCTCCCCCAGTATCTTGTGCTCAGTCATTATTTAAAAATTTTGCCTGTTTCAGAATTTCATATAAGTGAAACTAAATATTACTTTTGTTGCTTTTTTTTTTTTTTTTTAAGCAGTACTGGGGTTTAAACTCAGGATTTAATGCTTGCTGGGCAGGCCCTCTATCACTTGAGCCACTCCGCCAGCCCTTAAATATTATTTTTGTGTTTGGCTTTGCTGAGCATACACATGAAGATTCATTATGTTGTATTATTATCTATGAACATTTTGCTGAGTAGTAATCCATTGTATGACATCATCACAATTTCTTTACTCATTCCTCTGCTGATGAAACATTTGGGTGTTTGGTTTTGCCTGTTACAGATAAAACTATTGTAAAAATTCATTATGTAGAAAAACACGTTTTGTTTTTATTTTTTTTGTTGGTACAGGGCCTCACACTTGCTAGGCAGGTGCTCTACCACTTGAGCCACACCACCAGCCCTGAGACTCAGGTTTTTGTATCTCTTGGGTAAATATTCAGGAACGCAGTTGCTGGGTCATATAAGAAGTGTATGTTTTGTTTTGTTTGAGATGAGGTCTTGCTGTTACCCAGGTTGTCTCAAATAACTCAAGTGGTCCTGCTGTCTCAAGCCTCCTGAGTACCTGGGACTACATGTGTGCCTCACATACCTGGCTTGTTTAATTTTATAAGAATGACCAAACTTTTTATTTGTGGTGCTGCAGATGGAACTCAGGGCCTTGAGTATGCTAGGAAAGCACTCTACTATTGAGCTACACCCCCAGACCCTAAACTGTGTTTTTTCCAAGTGGCTCTACCATTTTGGGTTTCCACCTTAAGAGTGTGGCCCAGTAGCTCTACATCCTTGTCAGTCTTTTAAATTTGAGAGAATTGAATGGATATGAAGCCCTCTGGGCCTGTAGTTTGTGAGGTTTTAAATTATATATTCAATTTCTTTAATCAACATAGGACCATTCAATTTTGGTTTGCATTTGTACTTTTCCAATTGCTAGTGACACTGAGTACCTTTTTGTGTTTAGTTGCCATCTCAATTTCCTCTTTTGTGAAGCGCTTGCTTAGTGTATTTCTAATTATCCTGTGTATGGATTAATAACTTTGAACTTTCTTGTTTTTTGAGAGATTTGTTTTCATTTATTTATTTATTTTTGTGGAGTGAGGGTTTGAACTCAGGGCTTTGCACTTGCAAAGCAAGCACTCCCATCACTTGAGCCATTCAAGTCCATTTTGCTCTGGTTATTCTGGAGAAGGGATCCCTTGAACTATTTGTCTGGGTTGGCCTTGAACTGTGATCCTCCCAATTTCAGCCTCCCAAGTAGCTAGGATTATAGATGTGAGTCACCAGCAACCAGTCCCAGATTTTAAGGGATGAGGCCCAAAAGACTGTCCTGGTTCAGACCCCAGTTCTGACTCAGATTCAGTCATTTGCTAGGAAGGCTCACAGAACTCAGGAAAACACTTTTCTTATCATTACTGGATTAGAAAAGATACAACTCAGGAATAACCAGTTGGTTGTGGTGGCATACACATGTAATCACAGCACTGAGGAGGCAGAGGCAGGAAGATTGAGAGATCAAGGCTACCTGGGGCTACATTTCCAGACTCTCTCAAAACAACCACATAAGAGATGGCTAAGACACGTTAAGACTTGGGGGGAGGGACACAACACCCTACAAAAATCTCCATGAGTTCACCAACCCAAAAAGCTCTGTACCTGTACCCCATCTCTCATGGTTCTTATGAAGGTTTAATTAATAAGCATTATTATTTTGGTGGTACTCAAGTTTGAATTCATGGCTTCATACTTGGTAGGCAGGTGTTCTAGCGTTTAAGTCATAAGCATGATTAAATCACTGAGCACTGGTGACCTTCAGCCCCTCTGCTCTGGGGCTGAACTTTCCAACACTCTAGTCATCCTTAGTCTTTCTGGTGATCAGCCCCCATCTGAAGCTATCACCAGAGGTGACTTTGTTAGAACAAAGAATGCACCTAGCACCCAGAAAGTCCCAAGGAATTTTAGGAACAGTCAGGAACCAGGCACTAAGACCAAATTCATATTTTCTTATCACAGCAGAAGTCTGCCCATGAAATCAAGTGTCTTCCTTTAGAAAAGTTTCTCTCTAAGGGTTGGTGGAGTGGCTCAAGCAGTAGAAAAGTTTGTCTTGTACAGAAACACTTCATACTAAACATGGACTCAAGATTTCTTGGACTATCACAGTAAGGTGAATTTGGTGTGAAAACCTCTGCTTCTCACTACCTCCCTACCCTTCTCTGGTCAGTTCCCATCACTGTCCTTGTGACCCTCATCCCAGAAGGCTGTAGGTCTAGCTCTGGTTCCCCTGGGACTATCTACTGGCACAGGGATCCCAGTTCAACATAGGAAGGGACCTCAAGCCGTTTCCCAGAGTGAGCCTTAGGCTCTGATTGCTTGCTTTCCTTATTCAGAAGGCAGTTAAGGTGGGGATGGGGGGTCAGTTCCCTTGGGACCAAAGTTTTTGAGATTTACCTATGGGCCAGAACTTTTAGCCTAGATCATCTTAACCTAAATTTTTTTTTTTTTAATGTTTCAAATAACCTAAGCCCATGAACAATATGGGAAAGTTTATACCACCCCCTAGTGCACATACCTGGGATAACCTCTTCCTCTCAAGTGAGAAAACCTAGACCATGATGGGACTAAGTAGCCCAGGATTTGCAACTGACTAATCAACACGAGGTTGTGACCTAACCCGGTGAGCCTCTCAGATCCGTAGGCCTTTACATCAGTCCTGACAGGATGTATGAAGCAGTTTCTAGGTGTACAGTTCCCAACACTATAGCCACAGGAATTGCAATTAGCCAACAATCATGTGAGCCTGGGCAAGGACTCAAGGAAAATGGAAGGCAGACACTTCAGTTTCAGTGCGAAATCCTAAGCAGGGCAAACCGTGGGATGGGTGTTGCAAGTGCCATTGAGTTTGTGACAGGCAGAAATACACACAGTGCAGGTTTTGTGGCCCACAAAATAAAAGCCAATGTTTGGGTCAGATCTGGAATCCAATATGATGCAGGAGACAAAGTCTTGCCCCAGTATAGAACCAGGTAAGGTTGACTAGAGGAGGTGAGAGCAAGAGTCCTCAGACTGGTCACCAGGCTGCACAGGAAGGGACACTGCCCACACCAACATGCCCATTCCAGAGGGAGAGCAAGGACAGGACCACTCACGCTGCTGGGAGCAGGCTCCAGGCTCTCACTCCATTTTAGACTAGAAATTCCACTCCTGAAAAAAGGTTTGCTGCCACTCCCACAGGGCAGAGGTGGCCCAACTCCAAACAGGAGGCCTGAAGAGCTACATGGCCCCAGGGCTGGAGACTAGGAGCCCTTAAAGAACTACAGGTAGAGCAGGGACGCCAGCTACACACAACATGGGCACAGAAGCTGCTTTTCCAACTTTATTTAGAAAAACAAATCCAGGTCCCAGTGCCCTCCCATGCCCTCCCCCACCCCAGCCATAATTTAAATAACTTAGAGACAGAGTGGGAAGGAAGGGAACAGGAGTGGAGGTTGGGTCAGGGAGAGAGGGAGAAGAGCCCACTACAGCCTCCTCAGCGCCCGCTTCTTGTCCGTCTTTTTCTTGGCTGCCAACTTCTTATCTCGCTCACCAGCATGCTTCTTAGCCATGGGACCCTCGGCCCCTCCCAGGCCCCCAGGGGCCACAGGGTCAGTGGAAGAGGTCGCAGTGCCACTGGCCAGGGCTCTGCTGGCCTCAGCCCTCATACTGCTGGTCCCACCAGCGCCACCATGGATTTCTGTGAGCAGACGGGCCCGGGCGGCATACTCCTCGTAGTTCTCCAAGAGCAGGCGGCCTGCCTCCTCGTTCAGTGCAGACTCAGGGTTAGGGTGGATCAGCAGGCACTTGATGGTCTACAGGCAAAGGCCCAAAGTTACAGAGGACCCTGAACCTGTCCAGTCTCATGGTTTCCGCAGTGCTCCTCCCTCCACTCCCAACTCGTATCTCCCAGATCAGACCCAGCCACCTCCCACTGATGCCCTTTTCACCTCTGCTCACATGTCACCCTCAGAGGCTGCTTTCCTGTTACAACAAATGCTCTAAAAGGAACCCATGCCACCACCAAGTTTGCCCTGGTGGCTTCTGCTTGGTTCCCTGAGGCCCTTGTTGGGTGATGGGGAAAAGTCATGCTCTTCCCCAGGGAGCCCTTTACTTGCCCCAGTCACAGGCTTGAACTGCAGGCCTGGCTGCCCTTCCTGCAGCTTCCTCACTGGCTGAGGCTCTGACAGGCCCACTATGGACTCACCAGCCAGCAGTTCCAGCACTGTATGGGCAGGAGAAGGTTAGACACCCCAGGGAGAGGAAGGTGGAGCAGGAAGGAGGGAAGGGAAAGGTTTGGGGGCTGTTTACTGTGGAGTGCTACCCTTTCCTCGAGCCACAAAGGAAATCCCAAGTCCCTATGTTCTCTACGGTCTACCCCAGGGTCTCATTAGAAATTTAGTTTAAAAAGTTTAAGCTTGTAGAATGGGTATGGAAGGCATCAGGTGACCTAAATGCTTTAAGTGGTGTTTAGAGACCTTGGAGTACTGGCCTAGACCAGGAGGTCTCCACCTCAGCCATCTGAGACCCTGCACAGCATCCCTGGCCTCCACTCACAAGATGCCAGCAGCACCCCCTGCAGTAGTGACAACCAAAAATGCCTCCTGACAATGCAAAATGTCCCTGGGGGCAAAAATCACTCCTGGCTGAGAAACACTAATAGAAGAAAACAATCTAGAATTAAGACTGTGGTGATGGCTGTTCAAACAAGCCTTGATACTGTTAAAAAAAAAAAAAAACACTTGAATTCTGTACTTCAGAGAGTGAAATTAATGATATGCAAATTACAGCTTAAAAAAAAGAAAAAGCCTCTAACTAGATACCTGCCATGGAATGTCCTGTACAAATCCATGCTGTTGCGTTGCAAGGTGCCCCCTGACCCTGCACAGCAGTACTGGATGCCCTGGGGCCAACACTACTAACTCTTCCACAAATTTCCAGAAAAGCTGTGAATCTGATTTCCATGTGAACACCTTCCCCCCACAACACACACACTACTTCAAAGCTGACTATTTTTTGTGCGCACGTGATACTGGGGCTTGCTAGGCAAGTGCCTGCCTACCACTTGAGCTATGCCCAAATCCTTCAAAGCTTATTTTAAAAAACGTAACAAAGCCCTGTATCTCAGATAACACTGGGACGCCCAGATGGAGGCAAGTGAAGATGGGGCTAGAACTCACCAGCAGCACATGTCGGATGCCCAGCTCAGCTGTCCAGTCCCTCTTGAGCACGTTGACGCAGATCTCACCATTGGCACCCACATTCGGGTGGAAGATCTTAGTGAGGAAGTAGCCCTTGGGTGGGGAGGCAGGGAAGTCCTTCCCTAGTAGGAGTTTCATGCGGAACAGACCTCCAGCATATGGGGTCCCCTCTGGAATAGAGGGAGGGGAGACTAGCTCAGGAGGCATCCCAGTATCCCATAGAGTCCCCAAGCTTTCTCTCCATGGTCTGTGAGGTAGGTGCTTTGCCATCTCTGTAACACCTTCCATACTTCAGGTATATTCCCTCTGCAGCTCATACCTTTGCTCCATCCCCTAGAAGTCTGTTACCTTTTTAGTGACTGCCCCAGGCACAGGCCACTTACAGTAAGCAAGGACCTGAGTGCCCACCTGTCTTCTGGGCAAATAATCCTACAGTTCTACCTACTCTCCAAGCTGTTCTCCACCCAAAATAAACTGTTCTCTCATTTACCAACTTGCTTGGGTGAAAAGATGTGGAAACCATGGCTATCCTGCCCACTGTAGGCCCTAAATCCAGTCCATTAGCAGTCTGGGCAGCTGTCCTCCAGATCCTCTCCTGAAACTGACTCCTCCTCCAAGTTTGACTTCTCAACCGGCCTTCAGCTTCTCCTCCATGGGGTCAAGGGATCTGTCACATTGTTGCTTTAACCCCACTACCAGCTTACAAAGTCTACTCTCTAACTACCATCTACTTTCTTCTTTATACCACTTGAGACACTCCGCCAGCTCCTCGGGGCCTTTCTTCCACCCCCTCAACTACTTCCCTTGCAGCAAATTGTTAATTACTGCAACTGTCACCACACTTCAGGGACATCTTCCCTGACCACCACTACAGACTAGCTAGACCCTTCCCTTATAACCTTAGCTTTCTAGAAATTGAGGCGACAAGAGAAATGTAGTTTGCACAATATTAAACTAAATCTCTCCGCACAACAATCACGGGCAATCATCTGATTACTACCTGTTTCCCCATAATGCTGAGTCTTGCTTGTGTCCTGCTATGTCCCCAGAGGCCCTGACATGGACTGGAAGGATCATCTGGCCCACCCTTCAGGCCACTGCCCACTCCCACTTAATTTGTCCCCATTCTCAGGTCCAGGGAAGCCACATCTGTAAGTGCCACCCAGAACCCAGGTTAAGAATCCCAGTATATGCTCTCTCAGTGACGAGGAACTTCTTAATGCTTATGGGAAAAGGGCACAAAATTATTATCATTTGCGGCGTCCTAGAGTGTGATGCCCGACTTGCCCACCGTGTCCCCACCATAGGATGGGACCAGAAGTGTAGTGGGTGTTTTCGAGCCCTGCTTATTCTACAGTCAAGATGAGAGAGGAGTTTAGGAAGCTGTCCTCCCTCTTTCGTGCCCACACTCACCAGGGCCCTCGATGGTGACCTGCAGGTCGGTGAGGTCCTCCTCGTTGGGGAACACCTTAATGCCATCGGGTGGGTCTGCGGTTAGTGTCGTCACCTCCTTGTACACCAGGCGGATGATGTGGGGGGGCAGATTCTCTACGTTGGAGTTCTGGGCATGGACGGGAAAGGAGGGTGAGCGGCAAAGCTGGGCTTAAATAAGGACGAGGCCTCCAGACCCTCAGCCGGGAGCCTTCAGGCTGCTGCCCCAAGCTGACTCCCAACAGAAACGGGGACTGGCCTCCAACGGGGCTTCCAGACGGTTCCACCTATCCCCCAGCCCCCCAAAGACCGCTGGTAGCCCCACACGGGCCCTCCAATGGTTCCAGGTAGACCCAAGGCCTAACCTGTCCCCGTTCCCTGCCTAAGCCTTCGGGAAAAAAACCCCTCAGAACCTCGGCCCAGGCCTGGAAATGGCGGCGGGGCGCCTAGCTCCTAGTATCACCCATGGGCAGGCCACAAAGTGCCCAGAGTCCTCGCCGAGGTTCGGCGGGCCTTTCCGGCCGGGGCACCTGCGGGGCACCTGGGCTTCTGAATCGCCTGTAGAAAGGCCCTTGGGCCTATCCCGGGCCCAGGACCTCCAAGCGGGCCCTCAATCCCTCAGGGCGCCCGCGAGAGCTTCTTGGGACTCCGCCTTCTCCTCCACGGAGTCCCCCAACGACCCCTGTCGGTCCGGACGCCCGCGCTCACCATGACTGCGGCCGGCCGGGGGCGGGTCCTCCCGGCCCCCTTCCTGAACTCTTCCGGCCACCGGCCGGGGTAGGGGAGGGGGGCCAACTGCGGCCGCTACGGCCCTGGCGAGGCCCCAAAGGCCCCGCTCCCCACTACCTCCGACACCACCGCGCACCACAGCAACCACTCCGCCCACCCCCGTGCCCGGCCACACTGAGCCGGCCGCGCGCGCACCACCGCTCTTTTATACCTTCCGAAGGCCCCGCCCCCACGTAGCGCGCCTCGGCTCGAGACGTCTGCGCGCACGTTCCCTGGCACTTGACGCGCTCTAATTCCTGTCCTCAAACTACAGGCAGAAACTAAAGAAATTCATGTGGGGACTGTGCGGTGGGCTAGCCAGTGAGGGCGTGGGAAAGTCAAGGAAGGGACCTCGGAGAACTGAGGAGATGGAAATGGGGAGTGAAAAGAAAGGGGGAGCACGGAGGTGACGCAGCCGCTGATTGGGCAGTTTGAATGAGACGCCTCACGACCCGGTGTACGCGCGCGCGACTAACGGTCGGCTGGGGGCCGGGGCGGGGAGAGGGAAGGCGGGACTCGGGGTTTTAAACTCTTGATGGAAGGCACCCAGCCCAGTAGAAATGAGCAATCATAATCTGAAGGGTCACAAGACCCGCACAGGCCAATCTTTGACGGAGAAGGCAATTTAAGGGGCAGGCAGGAATGGAGAGCGACCAATGGGAGCCCAGTTTAGGACCGCGGACCCGCTCCTGGCCAATGAAATTCGTTGATTTTTTGGGGGGTCTTTAAATAAATACTCTTGCTAATGCCCCCTCCTCTCCTCGGTGGTGGGGGGTGGCCACCGGATATCCGTTTGTATTTTTCTATAGGGTGCCATTTTGTGCTGTGACCCGTGTTCTGTGTTGAGGCCCAAAAGTCAAGTAAAACATCCTAGAAGGCTTGAACCACCTGGCCCACTAGTGTGTGATCCCTTGGAATGCCAAGGGAATAAGTGGGGAGAGTCCCAAGGCTTTCTTGAGAGCATGGCCACCCTTCTGTGATGGATTTGGGGAGTTGCAGGTTGATAAGAGAATTCACCAAGACAGAGTAGAAGAAAGTAAGGATTTATTAGGATGCCATTGAAAGGGAATAGAATGGCAGGTGACTATACCAAGGGTTTTATTTGTTATTAGTACTGAAGTTTGAACTCAGGACATACACCTTGAGCCACTCAACCAGCCCTTTTTTGTGAAGGGTTTTTTTGAATCGGGTCTGGTAGAACTATTTGCTTGGGCTGGGTTGAAACCACAATACTCCTGGTCTCTGCCTCCTAAGTAGCTAGGGTGCCGGTGCCCTGCTGCAAAGGGTTTCAGAGTAAATTTTGTAGCTCAGATTAGGTCACTTTTGATTGGCCAGCTCCATTTTTGTGGACCCTACTGATTGGTTGTTTCTTCCTGGGATCATGGTTTGAATTTCTCATGCATGGCACCATCTCTCTTCCATCTGGGCTCCCTAATGGGCTGGATCTGATAGAGTAATAATGTTGCCATTTTGTGAATGGGCCAAAATGGCAGCCCCACACCAAACCCTCCCTTTGTACTTCCTGTTCCCCTGAAGTTCTGTTAGCTTCTAAACAAACCAAATCCTCTCCCAAACCTCCTCCTTCCTATGTAAGCAGACTTCTTATGCTGCTCAGGCTGCTTGTTTCTTCCTATCTTCCTGAGGGACTTTCCCATCATGGAGTTAAGCAAGCCACTCCTTGCCAACTCTGGCCTCAAGGTGATTCCAGCTCTGGGAGAGCTCATGCTCCCTCCCTGTGGGCTGAGACCAAGCCCCAGCTTTATTTGGGTACGCCTCATGCTACATTGGCGGACTCCTGTTTGATTATGGCATCTGACGACTGCTTCTCTTCCCCCCCACCCCCACCCCTGTCTAATGCCCTTTTTCCTGAGACAGCGACCAGAGAGTGGAAGTTTCATTTTGCTGAACGTGTTCCAGTACCAGTCAATGGGAGTGACCTAGAGGCACAGGTGATCGCTAATCCCTCAAGCATCCCTCAAGCGTGTGTCACGCCTCCAGGTTCTGCCTTCCCCTCCCGTACCTAAGATGTCTGGACACTTTTTCTGCTTCCTCCATGGGTTCACCACATGTCCTTTGTCTCTGTCTGCCTTCCCCTCCCTGGGCTTACTGGGAACCTGCCTCCCATGAAAAACTTCAAACATGGTATCTTATGACTTAAGTTATACCAACTAGTTTGCCAGTCCTCTTAGTCTAAAGTAACTTTAAATCAGCTGCTAGGCAAAAGTGCTTACAAAAAAACTGTGGCTGCCATGCTAATGCCCTAACTCTGCCCCCACAAAGGGAGGAGGGAAAACAAATAGGCATGCTTGTCAAAGTGGGAACACCTGCCATAGCTAAGAGAATCCATAGGCCAACCCAACACACATGGCGGTGGCTGCAGCCTGCCGCCACTTCCCCTAGAATAAATGTGCACAGAGTACACAGGAAGGGGGGAGGGGCAATAAGCCACAGGATCAGGCCTAGACAGGCTCGCTTGTCCTGGGTGTGTGTGGAGGGAGTGGCACCTTGCACAAGCCCTGCTCCTAGCCCCACCTCACACCTCAGGGCACCAGACCCAGCCCTTGTAAGCCAATTGTTAGCTCAAGGTTATAGTCACAGAAATCACAAAATGGACATTACTGTAATAAACTTCTCATTTAAAATTTTCTATACTTTCAGCCTCAACATAAATTTTTCCCTCCAAATATTAACACTAGTTGTCCTGTATGGTACTACTGTTATTGGCCTGGGATGCCCTCTGAATGCCCTTCTCTAACTTTATAGATGATTTATTCCTTTGTTAAAAAAGTAGCCTTTATTAAAGAGGCTGCCTGCTATTAGCTGAAAGGCAATATCCTAGCATTTGTTCTTTCTAGATGGGATCTGCACCTTCCAGTCTTCTGGCTTTGTACTGAGGCCTGGCTTCAATTTTCCTTGGATGACCAAGAGAAGTGGCCTTCACAGGGTTCCTTAAATTACAATACCATACTCCAATTAGATCTTTTCTATAAAAGGGAAAAAAGTAAACTGAGGTCCCCTATACAAATTTTCTTTCATCTCAGATTGGCTCCACAATTGCTATTTAGATACTCAAAGGCTGGCCATTCTTTGTAAGCCACAGCATAAACATCCTCTGCCCTACCTTCTAAGCCACCCTAATATTCAAAACCTACTAATGGGTGCTTCCCCCTTCAACAGGTAATGGTAGGAAGAGGGCGAGTCTGTGTCCCCTTCCAGCTATCAGATCTAAGGGAAATTAAAAAAACATCTGGACAGCTATACTGATGCCCCAGACAAATACATTCAAGCCTTTATCTCTGAGATCCAAACCTTTCAACTAACATGAAAGGATATTATACTTCTATTAGACCAGACTTTTGTCTCATTAGAAAAGCAATGGGTTCTGGCCCAGGCCACTCAGGTTGGAAATGTTTACCACTTACAATGAGCCCCAATCCTAGTGGCACCTGGAAATGAGGCAATAAATGTGCCTACCTACAGGGGCACAGGCAGTCCCTTTGACAGATCCACACCAAAAGGGGCTGATGATATGGCTCAAGCAGTAGAGTGCTGCTTTGCAGGCATAAAGTCCTGGGTTCAAGCCCCAGTACAGCCAAAGGAAAGAGGAAAAAATATTTGGGGATAAGGGTGTAGCTCAGTGGGAGAGTGTCTGCCTAACATGTGCAAGGCCCTGGGTTCAATTCCCCAACATTACTAAATAAAAAAAAATAGTAAGAAAGATAAGTGGCGTTAATGTCACTTCAGCCATCTCATACTGGAAGAAAGTAGTTTAACCTAGACCAGATCCCTCATTCTTCAAGTGAGGAAACTGAGGCCCAGAATGGTTCAGAGACCTGCTCTCCAGCATATCAGGTGTCAATGTGAAATAACAACTTTGCTTTGCAGCAATGTCCTAAAGAAAATCCCCTTACCTTTCTACAGCATCTTAAGGACGCTATCAGAAAGCATACCACGGTGGAACAGAGTCACAGGTGAGAGAGGTTCTCCTCAAAGATAAATTTCTAACAGTCAGCCCCTGATATTTGTAGAAAACTCAGTCTGTGGCTGAAGGAGAAAAGTCATTGAACCAAGTAATACAGCTAGCCATGTCTGTATTTATAGCTATGTCTGCACGTCTGGGACCTTACTAACAGAAGAGAAAAAGATAAGAGACACCATGGCCTCATTGCTGCTCTCAGAGAGGACCCCACCCGACTGGAGCCTGCATCCTGAACTTGCTACCATGGTGGACAGGAGGGGTACTTCTGCAGAGAATGCTTAAGAGGGGACAGCCCGGGAGACAGCCCCTCCCCCAACCAGGACCCTGCCCTCTCTGCAAAGGTAACCACTGGAGGTCTAAGTGCCCCCATCACCAGATGGAAGGTGAGGTGCCACCTCCTATGGATTGATGGGTCCTGGCCCCGGTCCACACTCCAGTTCTTGGTATCAATGTTGAGGAGCCTCAGGGTAGCCATGATGGCAGAAAAACAAACGATCATTTTCTGGCTAGACAGTGGAGCTCATTTCTCTGTTTTACCTTTTTCTCCTGTTCCCCGGTCCAATGACAAAAGTTATCATTCAGGGCAAATCTGGCCAGCCCCTAGAGCACTAATTTACCCGGCCTCTGGCCTCTTCTTGGGGAGACCTCCTCTCCTGTCACTCTTTCCTCATAGTTTCCAAAACTCCAGTGACTCTGCTGGGATGGGATTTACTATCTCAACTAAAAGCTCAAGTTCTCCTCTCCCCAGGCAGCTATCTCTGCTGCCCCCTCCTTTCAGGAACAAATAGATTCCACAGTGTGGACTGATGAGATGAGTGTCGGGTGAGCCAGGACGGCCCTCCCTATTCAAATAAAACTCAAAATCCCTCACAGTTTCCACACCCAAAACAATATCCCCTCAAGCCTGAGGGAGGATGAGGTCTTATGCCTATTATCAATTCCTTAAAACAAGAAGGGCTACTAATCAGTTGCTCCAGCCCCTACAATAAATTAAAAATTCTTATAAAAGTTAATTTTAAAATACAAGTTACAAAGTAAACAACTGGAGAGGATATAGATAGGTAGTGAATGTATTTTTTGAGAAGTTAAAGGAAAAAGGAATGTTTTGGGATGAGAAAGGATTTTGTAATGAAGGGTTTGTCCTAAAGA